AGACTTGCCTGGTCTACAAGGTGAGTTCCAGGACAGCCAGGCTACACAGAGAGACTCTGTCCTGAAAAAATAAAACAAAAAAACAAAAAACAGAAGCACATATAAGAGAAATCAGAAGCAAAGTGTTTTTACACAACAAAATGAAAGCGAGAAAAATAATGTAATGTGCTTAAGTGCTTATTTTTTGCAAGGAGAAAGCACAAGGAGTTTATATGGAAGCTAATGGGATTGGTGATTTTCAGGAAAAGGTGCATAGTGTGCAATGGCAAGCGTGTAGTAACTTTAATATACTTCAATCAAAATAGAATCGCATCACTTCCCCGTCCCTTGCCTCCCTCCGTACCTCCCATGCCCCCTTTTCAACTTTTCCCTTGCCCTTTCCCTCGTTCTCAAATGGACAGCCTCTTTTTCTTAGAGTATTATCGTTATATATACATATACAAGCATATATTTTGCATATACAAATACACATGCAAAATGTATAAGTAAGTCCGTGTTTGCTGCTTGTGTGAATGTGATTTCAGACTGACCATCTTATATTTGGTAACCACGTGTGGGGCTCACCCCAGGGAGAAGCTAATTCTCCTTCTCTTAGCAATTATCACCCGTAGTTCTTTGCCTAGGGGTGGGACGCTGTGAGCTTTTCTCCATTCCATGTTAGCATGCCCAGTGATATAGCCATTGCTCTGGTCTCATGTATGCAGCCATTTCTAGGAGACACAGTCTCACAGCAGACTTCCTGGTATTCTGGCTCTTACAATTTTTCCACCACCTCCTCCTCCCCGTTCCCAGAACCATAGACGCTGGAGATGTTTCCACCAGTGCTGGGGTTCCCACAAACCATTATCCCTGTCTTGTGTCCAGTTGTGGTTTTGTGTGATGTCTGCATTTGGTGGTGGATGGTAGCTACACTTACCTGTGGTGTAAGGGAAAGGTTTAGAATATATTTAGGAATTATGCTGGCCTAGCAAACTGATGGTACTAGATTCTCTTCTAAGATCCATGACCTCACTAGCCCCAGGAAGCTGGCTAGGTTTCCAGTACCAGGCATGAGTTCCTGCTGTTAAAGTCCAATTCAATGGCTATTGGTTGCCACTAACATGTGAGCGCCACTTATTGCACCCTTGAGCGTAACTTGTCATGCTGGTTATTGTCACGGTTCATAGGCAGCATCACAGCCGGGTAATGACAGGACTACCTATTGTTCCCCTCCATTGGCAGCTTGTACAGTACATTCCAGGACTATGGAAACTAGGCCACAGATCCAGATCAAATCATATAGTCTTGTGTCCTAAGTGTGTGGTATCTTCAGCATTAGGGACCAATTCTCAACCCCTGAAAGGCATCACTGATCATCGAATTGTTCTGGGAGTCACTTGGGTTACTGCTCACCACTTAAAGAAGGTACTGGGGGAGGTGTGTTAGTCTATAGTTCTTGCAGTGAGCGTTGTCAGCCCAAGTATCATAGCTTCACTTAATGTGTGTGTGTGTGTGTGTGTGTGTGTGTGTGTACCACATTTTCACTGTCTAGTCACCTGCTGAGGGACATACAGATTGTGTGTGTGTGTACCACATTTTCACTGTCTAGTCACCTGCTGAGGGACATACAGATTGTTTCCATACTCTAGCTACTGTATAGACTAGCAATAAACATGGCTGAGCTGTCAGGACCCATATATGGAGGTCCATTCCAACTTGCCAAGAGTTCAGAGAGCTCAAAATCACTTCAATTGTCTCTAAGACATTAGCTTAACAACTACAGGATGCCCTGGCCTCAGTGGTGAATGACTCCTATCTAAATAACAATAGACTTGGGCCCAGGCAGGTTTACTCTCACCCTGAAGGCTATGAAGCCTCTGAAGGCCAAGTAGTACTAGTAGTATCAGCAGTTATAAGTGTCTTTAGGATTAAAGGAAGTAATTGCTATTTGTCCTTTATACATTACAATAGAAGTCTTCAGTCATTGTCCACACCTTTGGTTGAATACATAAGATTGGTATGAATAAAATAAAGGCATTCAGTATGGACTGAATCGCCCTCCTGACACTATCCTGTCTCTGTATTTCCTTTAACGTCTATAGCTAGCCTTTCCCTCATCCACACACCACCACTCAGGAGTGGACCCAGGGCTGATCGGCTGGTCCTGACTGCAGCCCCACAAACACCAGTCCATGACAAACGGTGCCCAATGTGGGGCTGAGAATGGGGGGGTGACAGAAGCGATGGACACCGCAGAGGGACAGACACCGCAGAGGGACAGACACCGCAGTTGTACAAGTGTGAAGAGAGCGCTTGGAGAAAAGAAGTGACGTGCGGTGAGTGGATGTCGTAAGTCAGGAGGAAAAATGTATAGAATCGTAGATATGGAACAGGAAAGTTACTCAAATGACAGTGAAGCGTGGTGAGTTTACCTCAAGAGGGAAAATGTATATAATCGTAGATGGGAAACAGAGAAATATTAGCCAGATGATAAAGAAGTGAGTGAGTTAACCTTGAGAGTAAAAATGTATAAAATTAGAGATATGAGACAGAAAATTATTAGTCAGATGATTGTATATTTACTTGGGCATATTTTAATAGCCAGGAGAGCTGCAGTAAAGCAGAAGCAAGTACAGGAGTTACTAGAATTTGAAAGTTATGTAAGGATCCTCCCCCTCTCAGAAGTCACTGCCACAGCTGTCTCAGAGCTGCCCTGGGGCTTGGGGAAGAGAAGGTGCAGTCCCACATACGCACTAGGTCAGCAGGACCTTCAGGTACCAAGAACTCTTTGACTTTTCAAGCAGCTACAGCCACAGATGACCTGCAGCGGGCCAGCCCAGGCCCAGAGGACAAAGGGCAGACAGAGTAGGGCTCCAGGGTGTCTAGTCCCTGGAGGGAAGGCCATGCCTAGAAGCCCGCAATTTAGAAAGCTGCTGCCATGGCCGATGTCCAGTCATGGATATGGAAAATGCTAATTAATGCAGCCAGTCAGAAACTGTCTTAAGACTTTACAAAAAAAAGGTGACATAGATGAATTTGGATTTGTTCAGATTTTGGATGTTCATAAACTCAAAGGATAGTTATAGCTGCTGTATTACAAGAGATATCAGTTAAAGAATTTTCATTTCAACAAACTAATCATAATCTAGGGGAAAGGAGAACTGGAAGATGTATGTATATGCTGTATGGTGTGGCCACACGTGTGTGTGAAGTGTGATTATGAATGAGTGAATCCTAACAAAAGGACCTACTTGAATTGCTTGGGATATAGTTTTGAAAGACCCCAGAGTGGGGAGACCCTCACTCAAGTCTCGGGATAAGCCGACGCCCCAATAATTCAAGAGAGATCGTCCTTGCTGCAAGGTTTATTTGGGGAACCAGTGCACTGGGGCCTAGCTCATAACCCTCGAAGGGGCAGAAGAGTTCGACCCCCAGTAGCTGCAGTCAGGGGTTTTAAAAAAGGGAAAAACCATAAATAATGGGGGAGTTAGGCAAACATAAAGGATGGGGAAGTCAGGTAAACATCATAAAGAATGAGGGAGTTAAATGAAAGCTCATGTCTTAACAGGAAGGTTATAGGTTATCTCAAGCAAGCATTCTTTAGGCATTGTACAGTTAAACATTGAGCAGGAATGTGGTGAGCTAGTTCCAGGATCAGGGAGTGTTATCTTTTAAGTTTATCTTGAGGCCTCCGGTTTCTCAGGAGAGGGCAGAAGGACAAGTTACTCTGTGATGGGCTAGTCGCTAGAGGTCTAAAAATGTTGAGTTGGGATCTCTCATTCCCCACTTCTTTTAGTAAGCAGTTCTAATCATAGAACTGCAGAACTAAATTTCTGATTCTATATAGTCTGCATTGCCCTGTTCTAATCTCTGATTCTGTTGGCATAGCATAAGAATCTGTACTGCCGTGCCCACTGCGCAGCCTGTGTCTGAGAATGTGTGGAGGGTGTCGGGATTGACGACACAGAGACCAGTTGGTGGCTTCCAGAAGGCTCCTCAAGAAGGCTCTACTTTATTCTTACCCTGGCTGGTTATTATATGCCCTGACACCAGAGGCGGAGGTGAGGTGGGTCAGGAAGAGGCAGCTAGCCATTGGAAAGATCAAAGTCAGGGTGTTCCAGTGAGCGAGCCCTTATCGGGAACTTATTGTTCCAGTAAACATTTCTTAGGGCAACAGATTGTTTCAGTAAACATGCTTTTAGTAAACATGTTTTTAGTAAACATTGTCTTACAGCTGCCTGCTCCCAGGCTGATGGGGAAGTGGGCCTCCGGCCAAGGTCTTTTGTTCCCACACTGTACAGCACTAACTCTTTGTCTAATAAAAGCCATTAATCTATTAATTATGCAAGGTCCTTCAGTCAGTAGAAGAAGCAAGATCAGTAAGGGACCCATCAGGGCAGAAAGCAAAGTTGTCATCCATGGCGATCTGCTGAACCAGCCCTCGTACCAGTTTTGTGTGGCCTCCCAGTCTTGTTTACGTTTTTCTAATCTTTCTCTGAGCTTGCTCATGAAATCTCTGATAGCTCCAGAGTGATCAATGTAAAACCAGCATTCTTTTTTAAGGGCAGCACATAGTTCCCCTTCCTTAAGGAACAGCAGGTCTAAGCCTCTTCTATTCTGCAGAACTACCTCAGACAGGGAGGTGAGAGATTCTTCTAACTTAGTGACAGAGCTTTCTAGCGCTTTGATATCCTGTGTCATAGCAGCCTGCAGAGTATTCAGGCCATGTTGGAGGTCTTGGGGTCCCTTAACGAGCGCTGTAGTCCCGGTACCAATTCCTGCTGCTATGCTCAAACCCAACATAAGGGTGAGGTGAGGGATACCAGTTCTCTCTTGTCCCTTCTTTGGTTATATTCATAGGCATCTATGACTATCTCCTCTGGGTGGTAGTAGACACCAGCTGAACTATAACACAAAAGTCTCTTGATTGGTTAAACATAACAGTAGAGACACAGGGGGTAAGGCCAGTACTACACGCCCACCAGCTATTGTTACTTGGTAACAGATAAGGGTTGGTCTCTGTTACCATGAGTGTTAAGGAGCTGTTGCAGAGGTGCTGGTGGGAGCGAGGTACTATCCCTAGGCATAATCCTGAGCCTGAGACTTCAGTAAGGGTGAGCTTACTTCAGGAGCCCCAGGAACATTGATTTGGATCTATCACAGAGGTGACGGTACCAGAGATGGCAGTTCTCTTGTAATAAGGAGGACCAGCGGCAAGACAAAGCCAGCAAGATGAGTAGCATCGGGATTGGTAGTATTTAAAGCTAGAAAAGCCCCTTGAATCAAGTTAAAGAGTCTATCACCAGTGGTAGGGGGCAGAGTGAAGGTTTCTGCAGTGGGAATTATCATCCCATGGGGTTGGGGCTCAGAAACCGGGGAATCAGGACTTATGGGGGGAGGAGGCGGTGGTAACACCCGTTGGGAAGGTCCTTGCTCTGGGAGTACCTTATCAGGTATTAGGGGAACCGCTTGGGGGCTCTCAATCTTGAGCCTAATCTGGAACGAAAGCCCGTTATCCCATCCTGACATATAGAACCTCAGACCCCAGGTTCGCCCCTTGGGCCAGGCAGTAAACTGCTTCCCTGGATTTGTGAAGGTGATATTGAGGGAGTCTAGGCCCTTATTCTTTCTAGCGACAGTAATCAAGTCCCATAGGGATGTGGGATGCCAATGGGCATCTCCAGTAGTTTCACATCCCCATTGTTTGCAATAGAAATGTCCCAGTCCTCCACATCTCAAGATTTCTTCTTTATTTTTAATGTCCTTTCCAGCCGATGTGAGTAACCCCCTCTGTTTATAAATTGCCCCATGTATGTGAGCGGTGGCGAAAGCGTACCTGCTGTCCATGTAGACGTTGATAGCCTTTCCTTCTGCCAGCTGCAAGGCTTGTGTGAGTGCGATCAGCTCAGCTTTTTGGGCCGATGTTCCCTCGGGTAAGCTGCTGGCCCAGATGGTCTACTATCACCACCCCAGCTCTCCGCTTACCTTCAACCACGAAGCTGCTACCGTCCGTGTACCAATTAGGGCACGCTGGCCATGGCTGATCAGTGAGGTCTTTCCTGGTTCCAGTTTCTTCTGCCAGGATGTCCATACATTTGTGTACCGGTAATGAGTAGTCTGTCTCTGGCAGCAAGGAAGCAGGGTTTAGGACAGCCGGGGGTGCAAACAGCACTCTCTCAGTTAACTAGAGGCTCTGATAGTGAGCCATGCGGGCCTTGGTCATCCAGCGGTCAGGCGGTTGTCTGATGATACTTTCCAGGGCGTGTGGGGCTACCACCACAGTATGTTGACCTAAAGTTAGTTTGTCAGCATCTTTGAGAAGCAGTGCCACTGAGGTGATGGCTTTTAGGCAAGATGGCCATCCACTGGCTAAAGGATCTAATTTCCTTGACAGGTAGGCCACAGGTCACTTCCATGGTCCCAAGGCCTGAGTTAGGACCCCTCACACTATTCCTATCCTTTCATCTACATAGAGAATGAATGGCTTTGTCAGGTCTGGCAGGGCTAGGGCTGGTGCACTGAGTAAAGCCCTCTTGATCTCTTCAAAGGCTTTCTGATGGTCGAGGGTCCATGAGAAAGTCCCAGTCTCCTTAGTGAGGGGATAGAGTGGGGCTGCCAGCATGGCAAAACCTGGAATCCAGAGTCTACAAAACCCTGAAGTACCTAGAAATTCTCTCACTTGCTTTGGGGTTGCGGGAGTAGGGATTTGTATCACGGTCTTTTTCCTAGCTTCGGTCAGCCATCGCTTCCCCTCCTGAAGAGTGTAGCCCAAGTAGGTTACTTCTGTCTGACAAATCTGGGCTTTCTTTACTGAAGCCCTGTACCCCAACTCACCCAGCTCAGTCAGTAATCTCTCAGTCCCCAGTCTGCACTCTTGCTCGGTGACAGCAGCTAGGAGCAAATCATCAACATATTGAAGCAGGGTAACTTGAGGATTTCCTGACCTGAACGGAGCCAAATCTCGATGGAGGGCTTCGTCAAAGAGAGTAGAGGAGTTTTTGAATCTCTGAGGCAGATATGTCCAAGTCAGCTGTCCAGCCTGTACCCAATCTGGGTCTCTCCATTGGAAAGCAAAGATTGCCTGGTTTTGTAGGATGTGGTCTCAGGCAAAAGAACGTGTCTTTCAAGTCCAGAACCGTGTACCATCGTCTGTCAGGAGGGAGAGAACTGAGCAGGTTGTAAGGGTTAGAGACAGTAGGATAGATATCTTGCACCCTTTTGCTAACTTCTCTTAGATCTTGTACTGGCCGGTAATCATTGATGCCTGGCTTCCTAACTGGCAGCTTCGGAGTGTTCCAGGGAGACTAGCAAGGAACCAGAATACCTAGTTGCAGGAATCTTTGGATGTGAGGTCTGATGCCCTCTCGGGCTTCCTTGCTCGTAGGGTATTGTCGTACCCCAATAAGGGTTGCATCAATCTTTAGCCTTACGACAATGGGGGCACCCGTTTGGCCTCTCCCATGCCCCCGTCTCTGCCCATGCTCTGGGGAACCTCTCTAGCCATGTTCCCCCCAGTGTCTTGTCTGGTAGGGCCGGGGACTCATGTAATCTATATTCTTCCTCCAGTTTTAAGGCCAAGATCATAGAAGTGGGAATCTGCCAAATGACTATGGTTCCTTCCGAGGAAAAGCTTATTTAGGCTTTTAGCTTAGACAGCAAATCTCTCCGCAATAGTGGCATGGGGCACTCAGGGATGACGAGAAAGGAGTGAGTTACTTGACCTTTTCCCAGATCAACCTTCCTGTTAGTGATCCAAGAATATAGTTTCTGGCTAGTGGCCCCAATTACTATGTCTTTTTTTTAATCTTTTAATTTTCCCAATGGTTTCTTTAAAACTGAAAATTCTGCTCCGGTGTCAACAAGGAAGTCCATAGGGGTCCCCTCCACAGTTAGGATTACCCTAGGCTCAGGGAGGGGGCCTGAGCCCCATCTTCCTCTAAAGTGAGGACCTTGGGTGTCTTGTGTTTCTTCTTGAGGCAGTTCCTTGCCCAATGTCCCTTTTCCTTACAATAAGCACATTGATCCTTATCTAAAGGCTGCTGGGGGGGGGTCCTTCAGGATTCTGAGGTCTCCTTGGCCCTTCATTGCCCAGGTACCCTATCTGCCTAGTTCCTTTTTCCTTCCTATGAGCTTCCCTGTCGCCTACTACTGCAGCCAAAATCCTAGTTAAATTTCTTTCTTGCCTCCTCTATCCTGTCTCTCCTCAACTTCCTTCTTTTCTCTTTCTCTTTTTTCTTACTCAGTCTCTCTCTTATGGTACCCTTTCTCTGCTTCCTTAACTAGGTCTTGCGAAGATAACATTTGCAGACCTTCCAGGCGTTGTAACCTTCTCCTAATATCAGATATAAAAGCCATAGCAACTGCTGCTTGCTGACTCTCGGAAGTAGGATCAAAGGGAGTATAATGCCTGTAAGCCTCTAAGAGACGTTCTGAAAACACAGATAGGGGTTCTTTCTCCCCATGTAGAACTTCCCTTACCTTGGCCAAATTGGTGGGACGCCTGCCGGCTCCCTTGAGACCTGCCACCAGAGCCCAGCAATAGACATCAGCGGCTGTGTTGTAGTCCCAGTTAGGACGATTTAAGAGAAAGCCTGCATCTATTTCATTCTGAAGTTGAGTTGGTTGACCCTTGATTCCAGGTACATTCTTCCGCGCCTCGGTGGTAAAAAAGAACCTGCAAAAGCTGTTGACAATCGTCCCAAGTACGCTAGTGAGAGAACATGAGGGACTCCATCAGACCTGTAAGGCTTGAGGGATTTTCTGAGGTCGGCCAATACTGGAGTAATTGCAGCTGGTCAGGGTTCGCCGGTGGGGGGCCGTATACATGCAGAGGCAACTCTGTAGTTGAATCTGGACCCTCAGGACTCTGGGTGCATCTGCTCCTGGTCCCGGCGGCCAGTCCCTCTGCTGGTCCTCCAATGGCACCCTGTTGAGGATTCTGAGGGGGTATCGGGAGGGGATAAGGGGATGGAATACTAGGCCATTCTGGAGGCTCCTCAATTTCGGGATATATCTTAGGAGGAGCCGAGGGCTGAGTCTTATTTGGCGGTTCAGACTCCGCCATTTCTGCTTTCATTTTTTTCTCCATGTTGCGGAGTACCAGGACTCAGGAGCCTGGCTTACTTTTCTGGGCCCAAGGTTTTAACCAGGACGGAGGATCTTGCACCAGATCTTCCCAGACACAAATATAAGGTCCTCTGTCAGGGGGAGGCCCTGGTCCCTTCTGAAAAACCGTATTCTTAATGGCAGAAATCACAGTAAGGTCAAGTGTACCCTCCAGAGGCCAGCCAATGTTGTACGTTAGCCATTCTGAAGAACAAAAAGTTCTCCAAGGTCCCTTCTTAACTTCTACAGACAGGTTGCATGCCCTAGTTCTAATTTCTATCCAGTGGTCAAGAGTTTGACCAAGAGGAATACTGACAGTCCCATCATCCAAGTCACACAAAAGAAGACAAACAGAAGGCTCAGAAAGACCGAGAAAGCCGAAACCAGAGCCCGCCTCTTGCAGGACTTTCAACACCAGGAAACAGAATCAGATGGCCGAGGGGAAGCGAAGTCTCTCCTCGGCACCCAGACGGGAAATCTCTGAGCATCCCCAGGGCGACAGTCGATAACTCTCCCATCCATCCCAGATAGGGAGATCGTTGCTCTCACGAGCATGGACAACTGCAAACCAAAAGTACCAGATTCAGACACAGCCGGCAGACAAAGACAGAATCTTACCTCCAAGAGGGGTCCCCAAGAATTTGGGTGGTCACAAATCCTGGACGAGTCCCCAACTGAAAGACGCCCAGAGTGGGGAGACCCTGACTCAAGTCTAGGGATAAGCTGACGTCCCAATAATTCAAGAGAGACCATTCTTGATGCAAGCACACAGGTTTATTCAGGGAACCAGTGCCCTGGGGCCTAGCTCATAACCCTCGAAGGGGCAGAGGAGTTCTACCCCTAGTAGCTGCAGTCAGGGGTTTTTAAAAGGGGAAAACCATAAAGAATGGGGGAGTTAGGCAAACATAAAGGATGGGGAAGTTAGGTAAACATCATAAACATAAAGGATGAGGAATTTAAATGAAAGCTCATGTTTTAACAGGATGGTTATAGGTTATCTCAAGCAAGCATTCTTTGGGCATTGTACAGTTAAACATTGAGCAGGAATGTGGTGAGCTAGTTCCTGGATCAGGGAGTGTTATCTTTTAAGTTCATCTTGAGGTTTCTCAGGAGAGGGTAGAAGGGCAAATTACTCTGTGATGGGCTAGTCGCTAGGGGTCTAAAATGTTGAGTTGGGATCTCTCAGTTTAAAAGGGCATTAAGTCAGACAGTGTCTTAACAGAAAGGGTTGGCAATCTCAGAGTCGGTCAGTAGAAAAATGGCCAAAGCCAGCATGGCCTGAGGCCAAGGGTATGGATGATTCAACAGAGTTTAACAGAGAAGAGGATACAGAAATTCTCTTATCTTTATGGTTAAAAAAGGAATTCTAGAGAATGGAAGTTAATGCATGATTTGAGAAAAGCTATGGAGAAAAAGCCTCATGGAACTGCCACCCCGTTAGGCCCCCCCTTAGAAAGGTGTCTGTATAGATGCAAATGAGACCATGGCAGCTAATGAAAGCTTTGCAAGCCAGATTAGAAGAGACTACTTGCAAACTTTAAATAGTTTTCAGAAGTTATTGGGGCATATGTCATATCTTAAAGAAATTAAGCCTCAAAAATTAGAAATTAGAAAAGATAGCTTGCGAACTTTGAGTGATTTTCAGAAGTTATTGGGTAATCTTCAATGGTTACATCCTTTTTAAAAAGCACCTACTGGTGATTTGAAACCTTTAAGTGATATTCTTAAGGGAGATACTGGTCCCAATTTGCCAAGACAGCTAACTAAAGAGGGTAGGCAAGTTCTCCTACAGTTGGAGAATGCAATCCAGCATCAGCAGATTTGCTATACCGACTATGCAAATCCACGGGAGGCTTATGTGCTCCCCACGCAGCACAGTCTGACTTCTGTCTTGTGGCAAGGGGGACCATTATTATGGTTGCACTTACCTGTTAAATCCTTATTTTGAAGCAGTAGCTTGTATGTCACAGAAATGGATCTGGGAGATATTTTGGCAGGGAACCAGGTGTAATACATGTTCCCTATACCAAACAATGAGTTGATTAGTTGTTTCAAAGCAATGATTCATGGGTAATCACTTTTGCTCAATTTTTGGGAAAAAATTGATAATCAGTTTCCAGCTTATAGACTATTACAATTTGCACTAATGCATCCATTTATATTCCCTAAAATTGTAAGGAGTAATCCTGTAAAAAATGCTATGATGAGTCTTATAATGGAAGAGCAGCCTATGTTATTGATGGCAAGGAATATGTAGAACAAACAGCTCCAGCTTCAGCTCAGATAGTTGAGTTATGAGCTGTTGCAATGGTTTTTCAGCTTCTAGTGAATGATTCATTTAATTTGTACACTGATAGTCATCATGTTTCTAAAGCTCTTCAAGTGATAGAGGCAGTTCTGTGCATTGAAACTAGTAATGAATGACCAGGTTAGAATACTGTTTGAGCAAATTCAGAGTGCCATTCATCAAAGAAAGTCACCATGCTTTGTGGGTCACATAAGAGCTCATTCAAACCTTCCCAGCCCACTGGCTGAAGGGAACGAGTCAGCAGATAGATTATCAAAAATGGTCGCTTTATCCCAGGTAAAACTAGCTCAGCAGTCACATAACTTCCATCATCAAAATAGCAAAAGTCTAAGAAAGCAATTTGGTTTAACTAGAGAGACTGCTCATCAAATTGTCAAACAATGTGATGTGTGTCCAGAATACTTACCTGTAACTAACTGAGGAGTAAATCCTCAAGGTCTGCTTCATAATCATTTATGGCAAATGGATATTAATCATATTGTAGAATTTGGTAAATTAAAATAAGTGTATGTGACAGTTGATACATGTTCAGGCTTCTTAATGGCCACTGCACAAACTGGAGAGGCCACTAAGCATATGATAAGTCACTGTTTAAAATGTTTCACTTACATGGGAGTTCCAAAAGTGATAAAACAGACAATGGGTCTGGATATACTAGTAAAGCATTTCAGCAATTTTGTGCTCAATGGAAAACTGATCACAAAACAGGCATTCCTTATGATCCTCAAGGGCAAGGAATTATGAAGCATGCTCATAGCTCCTTGAAAACCCAACTTCTAAAAATGAGAGGGGAGTTATGTCCCCAGTCTCCACATGATGCATTAAATCATGCACTCTTCATTTTAAAATTTTTAAATGTGGATGCTCATGAGCAACCTGCTGGGGACAGATTCTGGCATGATGGAACTCAAGTGACTTTTGCTCAAGTCAAGTAGAAGGATCCATGCACCAGGCAATGGAAAGGGCCAGATCCTGTCCTAATATGGGGTTGAGGGCATGTTTGTGTTTTCTCAAAGGAAGAAAACGAGGCTCAGTGGCTGCCAGACCATTTGGTGAGATGCATGGAGCAGAGGAAACCTGGACCTGAGACCGAGGGAGCCTGCCCAAGCCAGTTCAGTGAGACCCGCTGAACCTGTGCTCCTGACCCCCTGACGTCATTGATTCTACAATCCGAGAAAGAAAGGAACAGTCAGTTGGAGCCTGCCCAAGCCAGTTCAGTGAGACCCATTGAACCTGTGTTCCTGACTCCCTGATTCTACAGTACCAGAAGGAAAGGAGACTGTCTGGTTGGAGATTTCCAGTTTCTCAACAAGCCTGCTGCATCTACTTCCCAGTCTTGTGAGTGTTCATCCTGAATGACCAGCAGTCATCCACACCACACCTTGAAGCACAGAACTCCTTTTGACAGGTTTTCCCTTTGGGGAAAAAAGACTCATATGGATGTGATGTGTGTCAAAAGCCCCTCTTCAGTATTTGAACAGGACATGAACAAAAATTTACAGTTAATATTCAACACACAAGGACTGTGGAATCTCAGGCTTATTTTTGAACTTTACAAGCAGCAGAGCATTGGACTTCAGATAGGGAAAGGAAAATGTTCAGAATTGTGGAGTTATTCATACTCCACCTGTCATTTTATTGTCCTTTGATCGAATTGAAATTATGAGAATTGTAACCCAGTCGATTTGCATGTCTATTGTTACTAATCATACTGGAATTATTGATGTTTGTAACCTTTGCTGTGCTATATAAGTATTTATGGATGTAAGAGGTCAGAGCTCATTCTGACAGGAAATTTGATATGATGCTTATGAGTCTTTGGGTACAATGTTATTAGAAAGGCAGATTTAAACTTTCATCCAGCCAAAGGCACTTGAGACATCCCACGCCAATTTCGAAAGGCCATTTTAACTTGATCCATCCTCTCCTTTTGCAGGAGGTTGTTGTAGCCATAAAAGCGCACATGTTGCTTAGCATTATCAAGCTTGCTTGTGAACTCTCAATTAAAAAGTTGGCTTAGAAGTGTGTGTCATCAAGCTATGCACCACCCCCTAAAGTTCTTTGTTACTGAGGCTGATAGCCAAGGACGGGTAAGATTTTCTAGCCTTCGGATAGGGAAAGGAAAAAGTTCAGAATTGTGGAGTTATTCATACTCCACCTGCCATGAGAACATTTGGCCACCTAAGACAGATCACATATGAAGGAATGTGTAGTCCAAGGACAAGTAAGCACTGGTAGGTTGAAGCAGGCGACCTAAGACAGGCACAGTCATCTGTCCTGTCGCAGAAGCACAGGTATTATTTTATTACTTTAAGAAGGAGGAATTGTCAGGACCCCATATATGGAGGCCCATTCCATCTTGCCACGAGTTCAGAGAGCTCAAAATCACTCCTACTGTCTCTCAGACATTAGCTTAATGACTACAGGATGCCCTGACCTTGGTGGTGAACGGCTCCTAAATAACAACAGACTTGGGCCCAGGCAGGTTTACTCTCACCCTGAGGGCTAGGTGATACGTGCAGCTATGAAGCGCCTAAAGACCAAGCAGTATGTGCAGCTACAGAGTGTCTTCAGGATTAAGGGAAGTAATTGCTGTTTGCCCTTTATACATGACAATAGAAGTCTTCTGCCATTGTCCCCACCTTTGGTTGAATTCATAACATTGGTGAATGAATAAAGTAAAGGCATTCAATATGGACTGAATCAGCCCTCCTGACACTGTCCTATGTCTCTGTCTTTGCTTTAATGTCTATAGCTAGCCTTTCACTCAGCCACATACTCCCACTCAGGAGCAGGCTGGGGCTGATCCTGACTGCAGTCCCACAAACACCAGTCCACGACACTGAGCAAGTGTCTATGGAGTAGAATGATGAGTCCTTTGGGCATGCCCAGGAGTAGTATAGCTGGGTTAAATGATAGATTTATTTTTCATTTTTTGAGGGTTCTCCATACTGATTACCAGAGTGGATATACCAGTTGTATTTCCAGCAATAGTGGATGAGGGGGTCCCCCTTTCCCTTAGCCTCATCAGCATTTGCTGTCAGTTGTTCTGTTAAGGATAGCCATTCTGCCTGGGTTGAGACGACATTTCAAAGTTGTTTTAATTTGAGATTCCCTATTTTCTAAGAACTACTAACACTTTTTGAGGTATTTCTTAGATAATTTTATATTTTCTTTTGAGAACTCTCCATTTAGATCCCTAGCCTATTTTTCCTATTTTACCTTTAACTATTTCCTTTTTGAGATTATAATATAATTACATCATCTCCCCCTTTATTTTTCTCCCTCAAAATCCTCCCATACATTTTTCCTTGTTCTATTTCAAATCCATTACCATCTCTTTTCATTAATTGGTGCTCTGCTAGTTTAGTAAAGTGGTGATTGTAGGTTCTCCTCCAAGATCTATGAATTCACTTGCCCTAGGTAGTTGGCTAGGTTTCCAGTACCAGGCATGGTTTTTCTCTTGCTGAGCAGGCCTTAAGTTCAACTAGAGAACTCTTGGTTACTGCCAAGGCATTCATGCCACTATTGCACCCGTAGGGTTACCATGCCATGCTGGTAGTTGATGTGGTTCATAACTATCTGTCTTAATTATATCTTAGGGTCTCTGCTGCTGCAATGAAGCATCATGACAAAAAATCAAGTTGGAGAGAAAGGGCTTTACTCGGCTTACACTTCCATGTTGCTGCTCATCACTAAAGGAAGTCAAGATAGGAACTCAAACAGAGAAGGAACCTGGAAGCAGGAGGTGATGTAGAGGCCATGGAGAGGTACTGTTTACTGGCTTGCTTCCCTGGCTTGCCCAGTCTGCTTTCTTATCAAACCCAGGACCACCAGCCCAGGAATGGCACCAACCACCTTGGGATGGACGCTTCCCCATTGATCACTAATTGAAAAATACCTTACAGCTGAATGTTGTGGAGGCATTTCCTCAACTAAAGCTCCTTCTTCTCCAATGACACTAGCTTGTATCAAGTTGGCACATAAATCCAGCCAGTACAGCATCATAGATCAATAAGACTGTTGGTTGCTTGGAAGCTTGCATAGTGCCTTCTGGTACCATGAAAGCTAGTCCTTGGGGAGGAGGCATTCAGGCCAGTTCCAGTTCATGAGGCTCTGGGCCTTGTGTCTGAAGTTCATGGTATCTTCAACAAAAGGAACTTATCTTCCACCTTTTGAAGACAATCAAGAGTAATAGCAATATCATGTAATATTTTGGGAATCTCTTGGACAACCATGACCAACAACTCTAAACACAGCTTCTCATGCCTGGTGTTGGGACTTTTGTTAGGTGATCTTTGGCTCTTGGAGAGAGCATTGTCAGCCCAGATGAGAAGATTTCATTTAAACTGTATGTGTTTATTTACATACAAAATTATGTGTATTGTAGGTTTTTAGATAGATAGTTAATAGTATGATTCCTTAAGATGTTTTCAAATATCCTTAATGTTATTTTATTCCCTCTTTCTGCATTTATCTCTGTGGCACGATAAATAAAAGACCCAGAGACTGAGATTGGAGTTCGAGCTTCAAGCTGAAGATCAGAGAAGCAAAGAAGCCGGTCACTAGCTCTTACCTCTACCTCAGCTCAAAGGGGTGATCCTCAAACTGCTCCCAACTTCACTCCTCCTCAGATTCACTCAGACTGCTATGCTCTCCTCAAAGTGACTAGAGACTAACTCTCAGACTGCATGCCTTCCTATCCTTAGTGTGGCTGGACAATGAATCTTGAGACTGACTACTGAAGACCCTGACCCTATCTTTTATACCTCTCTAATGCCGGGATTAAATGTGTGAACTCTGTTACTATTTTAGCCTGATTCAATCTCGTGTAGACCTGGGAGGCTTTGAACTCAGAGAGATTCATCTGCCTTTGTGTTCTGAGTCCCGGGATTAAAGGTGTGTACCTGTCTTCTATGTCTAGATAGTATGGCTGGCTTTGCAAACTGATCTCCAGTGGCTTTATTAGATCATAAACAATATATCACCATACCCATCCCTAATCATAGCTCTCCTTTTCCCATTTCCCTGATAAGAACACTTGTACCCTGCTATTCCCCTCTTTATTGTTCCACCACCTCGCTACCAAGAACTGTTCCCTTTCTACTTTTCTAGTTTCTCCAGTTACTCCAGAATATGTACTTAAATCTAAAGATTTGAAGCAGGAACCTCTGATAAGAGAACATGTGACATTTGTCTTTCTGGGTCTGGGTTACCACATCAATATAATATTTTCTAGTTCCATCTATTTACCAGCAAAGTTTATTATTCCATGTTTCTTTACAGCTGAATAGTATTCCATACAGTACATGTACCACATTTTTCACTATCCATTCATTAGTTGAAGGCCATTGAGGCTATTTCCATTCCTAGCTATCATGAATAGACACCAATGAACATATTCAGTGAAACCACCACAGTAACCGACCACTTTCTGGTTGTTTCTAAGGTCTGTTCTATGAGCTGTAATCCTATTAATAGTGCCAAGAACCCGTGGTTAGATAGGTCAGAGGCCCTAGGGAATAACCTACTACTATTATTCTGCTAAAAATTACCCCTAATGACTTATTCATATGCCTGTGGATCAGAAAATCTCTCAGCCCTCATCAGAGAAGCTTCCTCTTATAGTAGATTGAAATTAGTCCAAGCCATCAACTAGACAATGTGCAGAGAATAGGGGCTATGGAATGTTCAACCCTAAATGGGATGTTTATATTATACCTCTTCCCACAAGAAAAGGGGGAAAGAAAAATGGTAAGATCCAGAGGAGGTGGGTAAGTTCAAGGAAACAATATTTCCCAAGCGCGTTAGGGCAGTTGCACATATGAACTAGTAGTGAGCATAGCAGCATGCAAATGAGTGGCACAGGCTCAAAGGAGACGAAATCTAAGCACATAAGGGGACAGGAAGGAATGAAATCCCACCACTTGCTGAGGATATATTGGCGTCTGAAAACTGAAGAATCGCTCTTCTTCAACAGTGTGGCTCCTGATACATTGACCATATTCTAAGGCAGGCCCAATCACCAAGAGTTGGTCAGTGACACATACCAAAAAAAAGAAGAAAACTCAAAGTCAGACGGATAAGGAGGTGAGGGTAGATCTGAGAGGAATTGGGGAAAGGATAAATATTATCAAACACACATTGTGTGAAATTATATAATTAATAAAAACAGTATTCAAAAATAAAACCCACAAAAGTTGGTCAGCCTAAGCACATTCCACATCACTAACATGAATAATGCAGTCGCTAGGTACAAGTGAGACAATTAATGGAAATAACTTTTGAGTGTGAAACTATAATATCCACTCTAGAGGACAGCCTAAGGATAATGTTGTGAGAACTTTGTTGTGGGATAATCTTTTTGTACACTGTGAAGATGTGTCTTTGCCAAGGCATCTTCTGACTGATTTAATAAAGAGCTGAATGGCCAATAGCTAGGCAGGAGAGGATAGGTGAGATTTCTGAGACAAAGAGGAACTCAGGGGGATGAATCTAGGTGTGGGAGACACCAATGAGACACAGAGAGTGTCAGACATATAGAATGTAAGAGAGATAAAAAAAAGTCACATGGCAGAACATAGACTAATAGAAACAGGTTAATTTAAGTTATGAGAGCTAGTGGGACAAGCCTAAGCTAAGGTCAAACTTTCATAATTAATAATAGGTCTCCATGTCATTATTTGGGAGCTGGCAGTCCCAGTGAGAAAGTACTAATACAAATCCTGAACTTTAGCTGCTAAGGTAGATGCGTTGCTAGTGTTATTGTTGATAAAGGAACACTGAGAACTTGTGCACTCTTGGATGCCAAATAGACAAATACAATGATGCTCCAGGTCCCCACAAAGGAGGACTGTTTAGTTTTTTAAGATACAGAACAGAGGATGAAGCAATCCCTGTGGTGTCGTTCTAGGCAATGGAAACTATTGTATTTCCTAGCTTTGAACACTGAAAGAACCTAGTACAATGGCCTCCCTATACAAAAAGTTGCCTTGTATTCTAGCCACTTTGTCTAAATGCCAGACTCCAATAGACATGTAGACATGTGCAGAGTCCCTGGAGAAATAATCTGTTGCAGGGATAAGAAAAAGAGGTAAAATATGTAATAGAACATATTTAGTTTCAGAAAATAAGGATGTGTTCAAAAACTAATTGAGACTTGCCAAAGAATACCGGAGCCAGGCAAGCTCAAGAAGAGAGGAGGAGACACAGCTCTGTAGTAATGCACTGATCTAACACATGCAAGGCCCTGTTGGATCCCCAGCACCTCAAATGATTATACTGTTTTGTTTGCTTGTTTGTTTTTAATTAATTTTTATTTAAATTAAAACAATCTTTCCCAGTTCCCTCTCCCTCCCATTCTCCAATTCCCCCCACCATCCTCCTAGTCCACCCCCATCCACTCTTTAGAGAGGGGGAGGTCTCCCATGGGGGATCATCAAAGTCTGTCACATCATTTGGAGCAGGATCTGGGCCCTCCCCCATGTGAATGGGCTTGCAAAGCCCATTTGTGCACTAAGGATAAATACTGGTTCCACTGGAGCTCCCAAAGCCCATTTGTGCACTAGGGGTAAATACTGGTTTCACTGCCAGAGGCCCCATGGGCTGCCCAAGCTCCCCAACTGATACCCACATTCAGGGAGTCTGGAACAGTCCTATGCTGGTTCCCCAGCTGTCAGTCTGGGGTCCATGAACTCCCACTTGCTCAGGTCAGCTGTTTCTGTGGGTTTCCCCAACATGGTGTGGACCCCTTTGCTCATCACTCCCCCCTCTCTACAACTGGATTCCAGGAGTTCATCTCAGTGCTTAGCTGTGAATTTCTGCTTCTGCTTCCATCAGCTACTGGATGAAGGCTCTATGATGGTATTAAAGATAGCCATAAATCTCATTACAGGGGGGAGGCATTTAAGGTAACCTTTCCACTATTGCTTAGATTCTTAGTTGGGGTCATCCTTGTAGATTCCTGGAGATTTCCCTGGTGCCAGGTTTCTTGTTAAGCCCATAACGACTTCCTCTATTAAGGGATCTCTTTCCTTGCTCTCCTTCTCTGTTATTCCTCCAACTCCACCTTGCTGATCCCTCATGTTCTCCTTCCCCCTCCCCTCCTTCCCTCCTCTTCTTCCTACCTCTCTCCCCTCCCCACACCCCTCTCTAGCTCCCCATTCTCCACCCCTCAGTTCCCAATCCCCGCCCCCATGCTCCCAATTTACTCAGGAGATCTTGTCCCTTTCCCCTTCTGGGGTGGGGGAAGGTGGTCTTTCATACCATTGTGGGGTTTTTTATTATTATTATTTATCAATACCTATCCTTCAGCAAAGAGAAAAGAGAGGCTGGAGAGATGGCCCAGCAGTTAAGAGCTAGTACTGCTCTTGCAGAGAACCTAAGTTTGGTTACTGACACCCACATTGGGTAGCTCATAAGGACCTGTAACTCCAGTCAGGGCATCTGGTGGCCCTCCCCTGGCCTCCACATGCATACAGAAGGAGTGATAGAAATACAGTAATTAGGGGCTGCGGAGATGACTCACTGAGTAAAAACTGTGGCTGCATAAGATTAAAGGCTTGAGTTCAAATTCCTAGGACCCATATAAAAGCCTGGCATAGCCAAACATTCCTGTATGGGGGTGGGAGTGGAAACAGGAAGATGGTGGGCTTTGCAGTTGGCCAGCCCAGCTCCAGATTTGGTGGAAACACCTATCTCAAGGAAAGACAGCATAGAGTGATAGAACAAGATACTCAGTATCTTCCTCTGGCCTCTGCACGTCCAAGGACCTGCTCACCTACATGCCACAGGTATACTGCGCGCGCGCGCACACACACACACACACACACACACACACACACACACACACACACACCCTCTCTCTCTCTTCTTTAAATGAATATGTATATAATCTGAAATATCACTGCACAGAAAGTGTATAAATCCCTAAGAACAGTTGACCATTACCAGTGAATCCTTCCTCTGCAGTATTCCTGTCCAAACTGCAAAACTCAGACTAATCACAATAGAGTGTCAAACAAAACTTAAAGGATATTACAGAAAATAACTGGCCTGGACTAGAAAAACTTCAATGTCATGAGACGCAAAAAATAAAGTTCTCTTGATTAAGGAGACAAAAGACATGCATGTAAAGGTTAAATTTCACATATACTCTTCGAGCGATTTTTGTGATTTTTTAATGGGTGTGTCCCCTCCAGAATTTATTTACTTGTAAAATGATAGTATGAGAAGGTAGAACCCTTGAAAGACAGTCAGGCCACGAGTGGGATTCGGGTTCTCTGGAAAGAGGTTGACGATTGCTGAGTGCCCCACCCTTTGCCTTCCTCCATGTGAGGCACAGCGCCCACCATTCCGTCCTAGAGGATCCAGCCCTTTCCAAACTGCCAGAATCTTGTCTTACACCTCCAAGCTTCATGAGCTATGAGAAAAGTAAAATTTTGTTCCTTATAAGTTATGCAGTCTCAAGTATTCTGCTGTAGCAGGTACAAAGACAGACATCATTGAAGTAAGGGGGAATGCAAGTAATGACATATATTAAATGTAATACTAAAAGTGCATCCATTTTAGATTTCTCAAGTGTTGTAACTATTATTGGAGACTGTTCTTGTATTTGAGTGATATGTACTGAAACTACATGGGATAAAAATATCATGATGTATAACTATCTCTCAAATGAATCATTATCAATTCGCCCATAAAATTCTTTGCTATGGGACTCACAAGATAACCTCTCCTCTTAAAAACAACATATGAGCAGTCTAGCTCCAAGAGGGAGTTCTTGCCTACTGTGTGGAAGGCCCCGGTTTCCAGCACAGCACAGTCAGGAGAAATAAATAACAAATAGCTTGTTGTTTTCAAAGTTCCAATGGTCAGTACAACATAGATGATAGACAGAACCACTATCAAAAG